ATTATATAAAATGAAAATGCCTTGTACAGACCTGTGTTAGTTGATGTTGTTGGGGTACTCTCATTTGAGCCAGTCCCGTCCGAGTCTGACTCATCATCGGTACAGTAGTCATCAGAATCGGAATCCTCTAAACACCACAATCGGATCGCTTAGCCACTAGCCGTGTGAAAAAACAAGGACTTACCGAGTATGCCTGCAGGAGCTTGGACCACGCAACGAGTGCAGACTTGAACGTCTCGCGGTACTCAACATCAAGCTCGTGTAAACATTGTTGTCGGGCCTCTTGCAGCTCACTTTGGGTTCGTCGAGGCATCACGGTATTACAAGCTAGAGGAGAGAGCGGAGGTGTGACTGTCTTTATATCAAGCAGGTGCGCGTGACATTTCCGTTCTATTCGATCTGCTACCTGAAACCTTCGTTATTATTCTAACTCAGCTCACGTTCTCATACTCCTGAAACAACCGAGGTACGTTGCCCTGCGCATCTTTTTTCGACCTTGAACATCTCTAGTGTCGAAATCCTAACCCATCTCGGAGTGCATCACGTCCGAGGCAAGGAATTTCAAATTTGAGCTCGGCTGGCAACTCATCTCGGTGCTCGTTGCCTCGTCATGTCTTTCTTCCAACGGGCTCGGGCTGCAAGCCAGAGCGCCCCGGCGTCCTCCAAATCCTCAAAGCTTGGTGACCTCAACGGGAATGTGAATCGCACTGCCGGAGAGACTCGTCGACGCGTCAAGGCTGGCAGCATACTGGCCGCATGCGTCTCTGCTGCCGTCCTGCTCACTTGGCTATCGACTCCGTCGACAAGAGCAAGTGGTGCGGGCTCCGTAACCGAGCCACTGTGCTCGCAGGTGCCGCCTCTGTACCCGCATGCCCAGAGGGAATTGTGGGATGGGCTGTCGAGCACATTTGCGTCTCCTTCCTTCGTCGACAGAGCGGCGCATTTGCTGGGTGGGGCAGTTCGAGTTCCGTGAGTATCTCCGCATCGCGTGTCGTTGTCGACACCTTCCGCTCTGCGCTCTGAATGGGACATTCGCGTTAGGACAGAGGTCTACGACGAGATGGGTCCCATTGGCAAGGACACCCGCTGGGAGGTCTTTTCTGATCTTCATGACTACCTTCGTGTCGCTTTCCCCCGGGTGTAAGTCTGCTCTTGTCATCCGTTATCGCATACCATTCACGATATCAGCCATGCCTCTCTCGAGTTGACTAAAGTCAACACTTATGGTCTGGTGTACGTTTGGAAGGGATCGGATGTCTCTCTCAAGCCCCTTCTCTTGACTGCACACCAAGGTGTGTTACTGAGGCTGCTTCCATCATCTCACAGGACCAAACCATGCTTGTTTCTAGACGTTGTGCCCGTGAATGCAGAGACCTATGATCAATGGGAGCATCCGCCTTTCTCCGGGTATTATGACGGTACGTGTGGCCAATAGCCCTTGTGCTGTAATGTTCTGATTCGGCTTTCTAGGAACCTACGTATGGGGCAGGGGTAGTGCCGACGACAAGAGTGGCCTGATTGGTATTCTGTGAGCGCCATGTCCACAATAGCATAGCAAGTGTGTGACGGCCTTCCAGGACCTCTGTGGAGCTATTGCTCGAGAGAGGTTTTCAGCCGAGGCGCGAAATCACCCTCGCATTCGGGTTTGACGAAGAAGCAAGTGGAAAAGAGGTGTGTGTGACCTTCCACCTCTTGCAATATTGTGCATCCAATTTGGCATCAAAAGGGAGGGTATGAAATTGGGGCGTATCTTCTTGCAGCGTATGGAAAAGACGCATTTGCAATGCTAGTTGACGAGGGCGGTAAGTGAGTTCACCAGCCTCCGCGCCCGTCTTTTCAACGTCACATCAGGCGAGATTGAGGAGCTGTATGGTGGTGTATTTGCCCTTCCTGCGGTTGCAGAGAAGGGGTATCTGGACGTGCGTGTTGATGTGGCGGCACCAGGAGGCCACTCAAGCGTACCACCCGCACACACGGTAATGCACGCGGATTGTGTGACGGACGGCAGGCTGATAGCCTGTGCTAGACAATTGGCATGCTCGCGCAGCTCCTTGTGCAATATGAGAACCACCCACCCAAAGTACGGCTTTCTCGCGCATCACCCATGTACCAGCACGCGCAGTGCCTTGCAGCCCACGCTCCAGGTCTTTCTTCGTCCCTCCGGGAGGTGATCAAGAAGTCTGCCACGTCAGACGAAGCATTGGCCCTTGCAGAGAAGCAGCTCTTCCAGGACCCCGTTTTCAAGGCACTGGTCTCCACGACCCAGGCAGTCGATATGGTCGGTGGTGGCGTCAAGTCGAACGCACTCCCAGAAAATGCGATGGCTATCATCAATCATCGCATTGCCACTGACAGGTAGCTGCATTGCCATTGCATATTCTGATACGTACTCATCCCTGGTATCCCGCAGTTCCGTAGCCGCAGTGCAGGAGCATAGCACTGCCATCCTAAGACCTTTGGCTGCAGCGTTCAATCTTTCATTCACATCGTTCGGATCCAGCCTCACAAGTGAGGTGCCTGCATCCGGGACTCTGACGCTTAGCGACGCCTGGGACTCTGCACTTGAGCCGGCACCCATCACTCCTACTGGCGAGGACTCTATGGCGTTCAAGCTACTGTCAGGATCGATAAAGGCGACATATGAATCGCATCGATTCCTGTCCGGCTCTGAAGACAGCATTGTAGTGATCCCTAGCCTTGGAGCTGGCAACACTGGTAGGTGCGACGCAGCTCGACGCTATACAGCTGCAACTTATCAGCCATCATCCAGATACGCAATTCTATTGGTCGCTCACACCGCATATATTCCGCTATACGCATTACGTGACCGGCCCCGGATCGGGCTCGGACAAGGCGCACACGGTGAACGAAGGTGGGTTGGATACGGATGTGCTGCTCCTGATTGCTGACGCTGTTTGGCCTGTTATATAGCGTGCAAGGCCGATAGCCTCGTCGAGATGGCCAGGTTCTTTTCGACGCTTATTCTGAACGTGGATGAAGGTGCTCTTTAGGGAGTATGGAACGGGTGTCTTTTGGGAACAAAAAGTGGCTCTGCATACCTTCTCGTTGCCAAGCTCTGTATCCGTACGTTCAGGAAATATAGATAGCGATCTGTGCCACGAGCACAAAGGGAGAAGTCTGTGAGCAAATGTCTCCCGGTGGCAAGGTGATGACACCGTCCTGCAGTCCTACTTAGTAGTATCCCTCTCGTTCCCAGCCGCGGCACGCGCTACGGTACTCCCCCGCACCGTGCGTAGAGCTTCCAACTCCTCTCGACCCGCGATGTCCACGTCTTGAACGTTCAATGACGACACCGCGGTTGGTATTTCGATGTACTCGGGCAATTTGGGCGCTCAAAAAAATGCAAGCAACATCAGGGCAGCCAACACTAGCGCCAAGTACTAGGCCGCAGCGGTATACTTGTAGCGAATTCTGTGTCTCCCAGCATCGCAGCGTCCCCATGACTGATGCTGCGCCGCCACGCATATGATGCGCACTGCTCACTAGCCTAGGGCACTGGGACCATAGCGTCAAAATCCTCAGAGGAGCTGTCACTGTGCACCCACACGTACCGGTAGGGCTCGTGCGCAGCCATCAGGCTCGAGTCAAGAACAATCGAGGCCGTATTGCATGCGATGGCATGCGCATATGAACTTGAATGCAGAACCGCTGTGGATTGCGGAACAGCCTAGACCCGGCGAGGAGTGGTGGGACGGCAAAATATGCCACTTACGGTGGCAAAGCAAACGGTCAATTCTGTCGTGCAGTGGGCAAACACTCTCTTGTGGACATCCACAACTTGGTCTCGTGCCCAGACGTGGTACCCAGACACGTCTGTGCACGAGACCACCATAACTGTGACTCTAAAGTCATCTCAAACATATCTCGCGCAGGTTATGGGCATTCTACGGCGTCCAGCTCGGTCTATTGGCACAGGATGAGTCGAATCTGGGTCACCCGTACTGTTACTCAAGGCTCAGCGCAGTGCATCTGATCAGGTACCATACTGTCTGCATGACATATTGGAACAGATCCGGTCAGAGGGCTTAAGAACGCCTCGTATCAACATGTGGCCCTCCTTGCTCGTCACCCAGCGGTCCCTTCGTGATGGCCCTCACATTTTCCTTCGAGTCTCCTCTAAATTATGTCATCCTCGCCCACAGTAGCCAGGGCGACCCCAGCCCGCACTATGCAGTTTGCTCCACCAGCTTGTTCACCAAGCGGACTACGACGTTCTCGGCGATCTCCCCTCCGTCTGTTATCGCAAAGATCGAATGGAACTCGTTCTCTCCGGACGAAATCACCATGGACGGCCGGACGCGTCTTTTGGACGAGGTAATAGAGAAGGGCGGAGCGTTTGGGAGAACGTACGCTCTCCGTCGCATGCATGGATGCACCATTCTGATATTGTGTCTATCATGGATAGGATACGCAAATTCACACTTCCGGACGGCGCGAAATATAAGTGGAAGAGTTGCTCCAGCCAGAGTCTCGTTGTACGCCGCCTGTGCTCAATCACTGCGACTCACCGGCTGCAGCTGACGTCTTTGTGGCCTGCTTGTCAGCTCCTGGATACATACGGCACGACCATCGCCCGCTCTCACCGTACAAAGTGTGGATCCTTTTGGGGCGTGAAGCGAGATATGACGCTCGTGATTGAGAGTCCCGGATTGGCGTTCGTCGACCTCATAGTGCTCTCATTCATTGTCGCGGAGCACACACACCGACAGCGTCAGGAGGCAGCCCGACGGCGTCGCAGGCGAGGCCAAGGCAGCATTGTAATGGCAAACACCGCGGCCGCGAGCTTTTAGATCACGTCGGTCATAGCGGCACGAGCCCCCATCTGTTGTGTAACACACCTCAGGGATAAATCTTCGATATGTGAATGTGGATCTGTTTCATCTAGTCAATAGCCAGAGCTCTTATATGCATATCAAGTATGTGTACTCTGTAGATTCTATTCTGGACCGCAAGAATGACTCTACCTACATATGTATCTTAAAATGATTATTCAAACGAAGTGTGATCTCTCTCAGTGAGTTCTTAGTGCCCGAGTCCTTCAATTTCAGCATGCTGCTGTGCAAGGAGATTCATGCACTTGAAGTGACAACGATTGGGTCGCGCTCAATGTCATGACACCGCAAGCTGCCGAAGTGTCCTTACACAAGTTCACAGCTGTGCTCATGTCTTTGACACGTCTGGGGATGTGACCACTGTGCTTATATGTGAGTCTGCCATCACAATGATACCAAATCCGTATACTTGTACAAACACAAGTCTCAAAGTCCAAACATAGATTCATACACAACAAGACGTCTATCCCCGGAGAATGAATATGTCATATGTAGTGATGAGTGTCTTGGTCTCATGCAACTCAATAACCTTCCTGACAACTGGTGGATTCAGTTCCGGCCTCACAGCCCATAGGTACTGAACAACATACGCAGGTGGTTTTCAGTCTTCATAAAAAACGTTGCATATGCAACATAGAACATGGCGTTCGAAGGTCCGTTGCACACACCTCTGTGATCTCCCAGTCCCACCCACGCATTCACTGGCAACAAGACCGTCAGTAGCAGCCGGGGGGTATGCCATCAATGAAGTGGCGAAGGTGAAGACAACGTCTGTATCGTCTGCTAGAGATATGTCCGGGCAGAGAAGCACATCGAAGGTTGAGTGAGTCACATCCATATTTAGGGGCAAGCGATTTGTGAAGCTCATCGCGCATGTGTTATAAGAGATCTGGGTTTGGTACCCAGGTAGAACAGAGAAGTTACCCTTTGTGTTTGCAATGAGGTTTGACCCGTAGCACCATGCGAGAACATGCAGATGCGTGGGTTTCAATAAACATTGTACGTACTACTAAAAGAGCGGAAGGAGGCATACTTAGTGATGTTTGAAATTCGGACAATATGTCCACTATTACACAGTCAAGACTCTAGGCCAATCGAGCCGGATTATTCATCTTCAGAGGTAAGGTTGATAGGTCGTGGTGGCGGCCATGGGATTAAGCCCCAAGCGGTTATCTATGGCCCCAGTGCATATCATCCAATCCCCGTGTGCAAGCAAGCACTCTACGGATAATAGAATCATCAGCAAGAACGACTCTCACAAGCGCAAAAATGCGACCATGGTTCCCGATAATGGAAGATACAGCACGATAGATAACGAATAAGCAGCAGTCTGACACCGCGTGTTGATGAGCAGCGACGTGTCAGCCTCACGACGACGCAGCGTTCGTGGTAAATGGCCCCAGGCCCGATTGCGGCCTCACCGCGTTTTGACGTCCTCGCCTGCGCCTGCGCCCGCCCCGCCCACGACCTCGCTTACAAATTCGAATCGCCCCGATCGCTCCATCCGCCGTACGAGCACCTCTCCGAGCGCCGTCGCCGGCGTGAACAGCCCCCCGCCGCGCGCAATCGCCGGCAGCGCGTCCCTCTCGAGCAGCAGGCCTAGCGCCGCCTCCGCGACCATAACTGCACCCGCCGCCCACAGCCCGTCAGACACGCAAGGGGGCAATCAAGCGCAAAAAAACGCACCAGACGCAAGTGCGTACCCGGGGTCTCCGCGCCCGCGCAACGTCGTCCTGACGTGCACCGGCCGCGCACCGGCGGTCGTATCCGCCGAAGCGTAGTTCGTTACCTCCATGAATCCCCGTTCAAGTGACCTGCGCACGTGCACACGTCAGTGAGCAGCACACAGTCCAACAGAGACCAGTACGCACGCTTCCGCCGGGCCCTGCCCCGGAGCGGGCGCGAGTTGCCTCAACAGCCATCGTGCCTGCCGCCACGCGCGGACGCGAGAGCAAGAGCAAGAGGTCAGAGCACCGCGCGGGAACAGATGCACCCAACACTCACCGGTGGGAACGCGGCCAGCACCGCCATCGTAAAGTAGTACGCGACATTCAGCACCGCGACCGGCAGCCACCCGCGCGGCCACGGGAGCTCGAGACACTCCTCGTACGTGAACCGCGGACCATACGCTCCCTGCGCCGCCTCGTCTGCCGTCTCTGCACTACCACGCGCGCCCTGCGCTGCGAGCGCACGCAGGCCCCATGTGCGCTGGACGATTGCGCGGTTCGTGTGCATCATCGGCCACGCAAGCGCGTACGCGCCCGGCTGCGCGAACGGGATGGTGTAGCACAGCGGAGGCGAGGGGCTCGGCGCGCCGCATATGCCTGTCGACGTCGTCGTCAATGCAAAAGTCAGATGGTGGAGCCGACACAGATCACGCACCGGTGCTGAGCCCGTAGTCGTCCCACGCCTCCCGCAGCTCGTGCGCGGACACCTCACTCAGCAGCGTGAGCGCGGTCGAGAACGTCCCGCCCGACACGGCCCCCGCGATGCGATACACGGATAGCGAGCGTGCGAGCGCCACCTGTGCGCCTGCGGCCGCCTTGAGCGTGCGGTTGTTCAGCATCACGAGCAGGTCTGCCGGGACGGAGTCGAAGCCGCAAGACGGTACGAGGATTGCGCCTGTCTTGGCCGCCAGGTAGTCATAGCTGTATCACGGAGTCAGCTGTGTCTGCATGACATCGAAGTTGCGAGCCACAGACGAATCAACCGGCCGAGCATTTGCTCTCCTTGGACTATAGGGAAGTCCTTGGGACGCAGGAGAAAGCAGTACAGAGACATCGATACATGCAAGATGCAGTGACTGGACTTACTGAAAGATCATTCTACGTATCCACGGTGTCTCCCCGGTAATGTCCACATAGTGCTTCCCGAATTGCGCACATGCCCTGTGGGTGTGAAGTGCAGCGTCAGAACCTCGCACATACGTATTTTGCGCAGCAAATGGAGAAGAAAGAGGGAGAGGGAGAGAGAGGCGGATGAGGAAGAGGACGAAAAAGGTGATGGGGAAGAGGACGGGAAAGAAGATGGTGAAGAGGACAGGCAAGACGGGGAAGAGGACGGGCAAGACGGGGAAAAGGACGAAGAGAGGAGGGAAGACATAGAGACGCACCGAACGACGTTAACACCCCACGTCCAGTATGGGCCCACGGCGCTGACGACAACTTTGGCATTGCGTATAGCCTGCTCAACCTCCAGCCGATTAGACACGTCCACCTGAATGAGGGCGACGCTGTCGTCAAGCGTAAGGTCGCGTTTGAGAGCTTCGAGCTTCGCCTCGGAGCGTGCACCGAGAGCGAGCGAGAACGTGGAACGCTGGGGGTGGTGGGCAAGATATCTTGCTATGAGGCGACCAGTATACCCTGTTGCGCCCAAGACAAGAATGTCGGACATTTGAATGGCCACTTGACTTTGACAGTACGTGCTTCGGGTAGGGAACTTGAGCTTGAAGCTTGAAGACTAGAGCTCCTAATTTCGACGTTGATTCGTCGACTTGTTGCCCACTAGTGGTTCAAGAGCCCTGAGAGGAGGAGAGGGAATAGCGCGAGGATGCCTGACAGCCAGGACTTAGAAACAAGTTTCAAGACGTCACTCGCACCGGAGACATGGGTCTTGCGTTTCCCTCATATTTGAAACAGATTGGGTTTTATATTGTTACCAATACAACCAAGTCAACTGGCCATAAATATTTGGAAGCATATTGTAAATTTGAATCATCTAATTATATGTATACAATCTGGTAAAGAATATTTGATGGCAGCTTATTTGGCTACATTAGTCGCAATAAAAAACCCTCTATTTGCGATGTAATTATTAATTCGGCTGGTCTCGTGCCTGTAGTGTCGCTATCTTCGACTGGCCGTTTTGGGAACTTTTGCTCTATTTGTAGTAGGAATGGAAGCACATTGTAACTTAGCGGCGCAGAACTTCGAACATTAAACATTTGTATCACTATACCACATATGTCTGCTCATTTACAACTGTTGCCTGTCGATGTTGCACTTTCCATTATCAAGTTTCTGTACTTACCAGACATACGCGCTCTCCGGCTTGTCTCGCGGGTCTTCGACGATCTGATTACAGACAACGAGGGTACCGTCTATCACCATGCTGCCCTCCTTCATCAGTACGCCCCTTCAATTCATGAGAAGCTTTCAGACGTGGTAGAGGGAAGACCAGGACTCTGCTTGGATGAAACAGCCAGCTGGAAGCTGCTCTGTGAGTAAATCTCTTTCCATTCGTTTGCAGTTCATGTGCGCGTGGAGTACAGTCATTACAGTACAGAATGCCCATGCATACTGTTTTATTGCTGTTATAAACGGATTTTCATTATTATTGATTCTATGATGTAGGTCAACAGTGGTTCCAGCTAGACAAGAATTGGACTGGGTCAGGAAGAGTGAAGACTACCATATTTTTCAAGCAAAATAGGGATGTATCTAATATTCTCTCTGATGAGAAGCATGGTCTTCTCATTACTGTACATGCGGGAAACGCCTCAAGAGCGTATCAGAATAGCTGTCTGAGAGTGACAGATATCAAGACGGAGGAAGAGCTCTGGACTCTACCTTCTGTAGGTGGTTCGTATACCGGAAGACATAATCTGATCGTGAAGTCATAGCCTCACGTCTCTAATATCTCCTACGTGTACTACAGCCACGGATTCCTCATCATCGGTCGGTTTGGGGATCGACTATTGTGGGAAGTATGGCGTCTGAAGTCAGAACTCACTCCTCAAAACACATCCGTTGATTCACCACCAGATGAGGCGCAGTTTCTCGCCTTTCGATATGCAGAAGAACGCCATCGCAGCACCAAGCGAGGCCATTTTGCGCCATGGGCCCTATTGAGTGTACCTGAACCGACGAGTATACACCGTTTCTTATATCCGACGTTTACTGCAGCATCTTCTTTAAAAGCATACTTCTATGATGTGTCATCTGGAAGGCGTGTGCAGGTTTTTCCTGATCTGCAACAGTTTCATGGAGTCAGCCCTCAGCTGGGCCCTTTGCGAAGTGTAGACACGTCCACGCGGTATCTGCTTGTGTGTGGGCACCTCGCGCTGCGTATTTTTGATCGTGAAACAGGTGCAATGATCCTCGGGTTGGGGTCCTATATGACCGAGTACTCAAAAGTCTCAGTCACGACGCAACTGGACCGCAGTGGAAAGACAAAAGAGAGCTTTATTATGCCGTTGCAACTCCCAGTGTCCATCTCTTCTGCCGCCTCGAGACATGCTACTAGCTGGCCAGCTTTCATAGACGGTATGTACGCACTCTCATCTCGTCATTTTTAGTGACTCAATTTCTTACAGCACGCTTTTCCGGAACGAACCCCGATCTTCTCATATTGCTTAGCGACAATAGGCTTTTACTGTTGCAAAACTTTATGCGTGTTGCGTGCGGACAGGTCTCGCTACAGGACGCAGTTCTGCAAATCAAAATCGATGTCAAGGTGTTACCAGTGCCGCGATATGGACATTGTCCTGTGAGCCTCGGTGTCGAGGATAATCGTATCTGCATCGTTTCTGTGTGCCAATTCTCCTCATATCTGCTGGGATCATTCTGTGACTTATAACACCATTCACAGACCTCTGGCGTCTACTTATTGATGCTAGATGCCGCGCAACGTCTGAGAGATTTGGAAAACGAGACTAGGGCTCGAAGAGCAAGCCTAGGAATGATAAGAGATCATGCCTCATTACCTTCCCATATATCCTTTCCTTATATTTCTGCATCCTATATTCCACATCTCAATGACCAGAACGCACTTTCTTGTATGGGCGGCTTGCACATGACGGCGACCAAGCTTTTTCTTCCCCTGCACTGTCGCGCTGTATGGAACGGTGAGCTTTTCTAATGAACGCAGTAGACCGTCGTTAACCCCGCAGAATTGATATAAATCATAGTTCCGGTCCAACCTCCCGACTTGTGTACTCCAGATTTTCGGAATGATGAGAACGAATTCGACGATGGAGACAAGTCGGCCTTTCGTGTCACAGTATCTCCGTCTGGCCCGCCTGCGAGTAATGTGGATATTGTAGGTGTGTCGATTCTCGGCTTCTCTGGTGACACCCTCATTGATGGAGAGCTGTCCGTAAGGTTTCCTCCCAGTTGCGTACTGTGTAGATTTTGCTCCCACATAATAGGTTTTTCTGCGTTGCACAAGTTTAGAAGCAGTTGGTTTCCACGTCATGACCATACTCATGCGAGTGATGATGCTACAGTTGTGTAACATCTCGCAACTTGCGAGGTGGGCCCAAGTGAAATAGCGAAGATTAATTCGACACTGTGGTCTTCAGTGGTTGAGCAAAGCCACCAGAAACGATGAGTAATCCGTTCCACGAGTTAAGCTGTGTTCTATCACCAGTCGAGCACTTTCAAAACATCTCTCAGCTATTTAATGTATTTCTCCTCTTGTTGACCTGCTTCGCATATTGAGGAGATCAGAGGAGGGCTGAAGAGTTCCCGTAGCTCACTGGCAGAACGTCAGCAGCCTGAGACCATGATATCGACTCAAGTAATAGTGACTGTAACTTATCTTTCAAACTTATAACAGATCAGTAACCTTGCTGCGTTTCGGATATGTACTTACTAGGTAACATATATTTGTAACAGTTGCCTGACCTAAGGTCTATGCCGCTTCACTCTACACCAGCACTAGATCTATACTTGGTTGGCGACTTTACTTCTGGGCTAGTCCGCGACTCGCCCTTTCGAAGGGTTCCTGGATAGTGAGACATTCGACGTCTCGCGCTGGGACTCTTGAGTTCGAGTAGCTTGCCGGGATGGAGTTCCTCTCTCAGACATACATCGCCCTTCGCGGGCCCACAGGTGCCATCCAATCCCCTGCGGAGACAATCACGCGTCTTGCAGACCGTCTTTCCCCCTCTACTCTCCTGGCGGACCGCCGCGCAGCTGTACTCTCGCTGAAGGGACTCTCGCGCGATCACAGGACAGACGTTGGCGAGCGAGCTCTTCCTGGCTTGATCGACGTGCTCCAGAACGATGCTGAAATCGACGCGGACATCGGAAAGGCCGTCCTTGAGACCCTCAATCTGCTCTGCGAGGCGGACGATGGTGCCAGCACACATGCGCGCGACGTCGGCTTCAAGCATACGGACCAAGTACTAAAGAATGAAAAGGTTGCACACAAGTTGTTCGCCCTGCTCGCCGACACCTCGTTTTATCTTCGCCTATCTGTCCTCCAGTTCTTAGCTACCCTTCTACAGAATCGGCGCCAGGTCGTGCAGGGATATTTCTTGAAGGCGCCTGTTGGGCCTACGAGCTTCGTTTCCATTCTGGAGGAGAAGAGAGAGATTATTCGACACGGTGTGTGTTTTCCTTGGCTCTCTTCGTGATCTATCCCCCATTTGTTTGTCATGCCTGCTTTATAGAATATGATGATACTGGATTATGATGAGACACTCGCTCTGCAGATTGTCAACTGTTTATTCATATTGCGGGCTATCTGGTTGTGTGCTGCGCAAATATATTGTATGAATGCGTGGAGTCTCGATCAATGACATGCATTTTATCCTTGCCATAACAGATAGTCGCGCCACCTATCAACGTTAGACACGAACTAACTATTCCTCTCTTACAGAAGCTATTTTTGTTGTGCAGTCGCTCATTTTGCAAAGTCCCGAAATCCAGAAGATACTAGCTTTTGAGGGCGCATTCGAGCGGCTTTTCAATATTATGGCCACCGAGAATGGCGTCGACGGAGGTGTCGTGGTCCAGGACGCGTTGAAATGTATCGACGGGCTGCTAAGATTTAATCAATCCAACCAGGTAGTGTCCACTGATGGGCCTATGTGAAATACTAATCAATTCGGACTGCCTTCAGAGCTACCTCCGCGGTACTCCTCTTCCGCAGCTGCTACTGTCTGTTCTGGGCTATCCGCCGGCACTCCCACTAGATGCGTCCCCACCGCAAAACTTTGCCCTTCAACTCTGGGATGATGTACAGAAACGCACAAACACAGCACTCGTTGTCGGTGTCATCGGGCTGCTCGCTAAGAGCAGTGGGGGAAATGTATGCTTATTGTTCATGCTTCCCTGTGACGTACTAACATGGGCATATGCAGCTTCAAGATCCACTAGCGTTCGCATTTAATCGATGTCTGATTGAACTTGGGTTGGCCTCCAACGTGCCCACTGTGGTGAAAACGCAGGTTCGTACGATCGAAGCAAATTTGCTTGTGCTCCTTGTGACCAGTCATTGCTCATAGGCATTGCGACTTCTGCCCGACAATCTCTCCGGTTTCCCTTTGGCGCAGCTGTCAGTTACTCCATATGTACCCGTGCCCGACACGAATGGAGAGGAGTGGGACCGTTTAGAACCCTCCTCCGCACTTGATGCGCTTGTTGAGTTAATTTTACATGGCGAGTACAATGGCGCGCTGGGCGGGGAACGTCGTACAAAGGATGGTATGGAGCTTAGAGCGGCTGCCCTCGCAGTGTTCCAAGTGAGTCTCTCCCACAGCTCGTCACTATCTGAGAGCGACGATCGTCTCACACTGGTGTAGAACTTCGTACAAAAGGAAGAGATCGCAGAAGCCATCGTTCAGGCGATGGTAGCTCCTGCGGGTATGCTTTTTTGAACTGAACTGGGCTCTTGGTCGATTGTTCATCTTTCTTCTATATAGACTCCGCTACACCTGTGACACCTCTCCTAGATGCTCTCATTGCTCCCCACATAACGCCTTTGAGTGTCAGTTCTGTCACATCCACACACTTCGCCTCACTCTTGTTTGCACACCTCCTTCGAGCATCTCCACATGCGAAGAAGCTTGCACGATCAATCATTCCTCTCTCTATTTCGTCGTCTGCTGCGCAAAATCGTTTCTTCGTGCCTGCGGATGGTGGGTCTGCCCCTACACCACCAGAAGAGGACGCGGAAGCGGAAGAGCCGCAGAGTGTGCTTCAGACACTGAGCGAACACCTCTCGTTAGCGTTCCTCGCGCGCGGCCGCGCAGACACATCCGACCGCGAAGCGCGAGAATGGGATCGCCTCTTAGTTGGCTATCTTACATTGCTTGTGCAGTGGTTATGGGAAGATCCAGCCGCCGTGCGCGAGTTTTTGGAGGCCGGAGCACTAGGAGTGGTGTGTGCCCTGTATGGTGCGGCAAGGCTGAGTGTGATATACTGACGCTTAGCCACTTTTGCCAATCCAGCTAGTTGAACCGATTAATCAAATGGCGGAGAACGATGTGGTGATACCTGGATTGTGTGTGTTCCTACTGGGTGTGTGCTACGAATTCAACAGGGAACCCGGAGAGATCACAAGGTACAGTCGTTCTCGTGTATATGAGTGCGCCTTGATGACATTTTCTCAAGGTCAACCATATACCCCATCTTGACTCGGCTTGGTATAGATATGCTCGTGGGTCGTATCATGCACCTCCGAGACGATGATCGGTTCAAAGCCATCGGTCCGGATACACTTGTACTGGCAGTGCCAAGTGCACCAACACATCTTCAAGCTGCACCGGGGGCAAAGCCCGATGTCGAAGAGGGCGAAATCTGGTTTGACTGGGCGTTCGTCGACTTCTGGAAACTCAACTATTGTGAGATCTATAGCTCCCCTCGAACGCAATATTCACAGATTGGTATTCAGACACAGTCCAGAAGGGAATTGCGGCCGATCCAAATACGATGTCGTCATCGCCAGGTACTAGTATTGCATTTTTGCCACTCTCAAAAGTATTGATGAGTTGAGTTCAGGACAAGGCGAAATGGCTATGCTTGTCTCATCGCTAAAGGATGTGATACGGAAACAGGCAGCTGAAATTGACTCGTTGCGTAGCCAGCTAGAGTCACTCAAAGCTTCACAGGTTCCCGACGAGGTTTGTTATTTTCACGCAGATATCATTATACTTAATAATGGTCGCAGCGAGATGCATTGCAAGCGGAGATTTCATCACTTTCTGCAGAGTTACAGAACTCAGAAGAGAGGCGGAAAGAAGTACAACAGGAACAAGAGGATCTACTTGTGTTACTGGACGAACTTAATAGTAAACGGCGGAAAGACAAGGAGCGAATGCGAGAGGCAGGTCTGGAAGTCTCAGAGGACGAGGGCGACGAGGAGGATGAGGATGAAGGAGAGGCTGACTGATTTTTCACGATCGTGTACGAAAATATTCCGGGTGACTTCATGGACCGAGGAGCATATGAACTATTTCTAGACAGGGAGATTCAGTCGGATTTATCCAGCAAGGCACAGTAGATCATTGCGACTGAGATTGAGCTCGTCGGGCTACGGCACAATCCGCCAGGATGACAACGTCCAAAATGTAAGCCGAGCATTGATAATTCATGGTGCGCAAGAAGCAGTGGCGATGCGTGGCGTAAATCGAACACGCAAAGGACTCACAATGGCCCATGGATATGTCTCCGAACCACTTTTTTTTTGTCGACAGCTGAACTAATGCAGGATCGCCACAAGTATAAGTCTGCTATTCCGTATCTGCCCGGCCCACCTTTGCAGTGGGGACCGCGCCGATTAGGTCATAGGTTGGCCAGCAGATGCGGAGATATTGGTCGTTTAGAACGTACTTACTGGCGGCCTTTGGATCCTCATGGTATACGGCGGAAGCTGCTTATAGCCCCGGCCGAGTGATGATCGATGAGCGGACTGAAGTAATTTATATGTAGCTGTTCCTGGCGCTGGATAATTGCAGTCGACCGGTGAGCATCTCCCATCCAACGAAACCCACTTAAAGATATCTGTGCAGTGTATCTCCATTCCGGGGCTGTTGTATCAATATCATGAGACATTTTGAAGCCCTTCCTTATCAACAGATCTATAGTTGAACCAAGGCAGCAGAAACCACCTTCTTAAGTCAATTGTTGCTAGTACCCCAAAAAAGACACTTGGGAGAATTTGTTGCTGGACAGTAGTCAGAGAGAAAAACGGGGTGGCAAGCAAACTGAGATCACCAATGGCAGTGATGGTTCATTAAGTGGCCGCGGCAGTAAACGCACCACGATTCGACGGTAGTGTGGTATACACCCCAGAGTGGCATATAGAACTGAAGTTACCTCCGCCTACAACTCGACAAATCATCCAAGTCTCTTCCCACTATCGTCTAAATTCACACTGAAAAACAGCCACAATGGATCCTCCCGGTGGATTGTTGGATCTGTCTCTGGTGCAGGACTTGTCCGTTACCGAGAATCGGGGCCTTGCCGCGATAGATCCCAAGCTTATTCCTTTACTCTCGCTGCACAACGCATTAGCTGTTTCCACGCACCCGACCGCGGCCGCATACTTGTTGACTACTCTTGCGTCCTACAGTACCAAACTCGACCCGCGGTTTCAAGTTCTGGGGGTGTGCGAACAACTGTGCCAACACTCAGATTTGAGGGAGATATTGGCCAATGCATTGAAGTCACAAGATTTTTCTACGGTACTCCGTCTCAGTATGTAACTCGTTCTCTTGGTCATTTCACGTGTGCGGTAACTATATATATGCAGAGATACTTCGACGTCCCGAGAGCAAAGAGCCCGTGGCAACAAACGTAAATGAACTCCTCGTAGAATCTCAGAGTAAGCTAGACCGTACTATTAACCCGATAAGAGGTTATACTCACCGTGTTCTAAACCGTCAATTTTTAGAACGCGGTCAGTCCCGGGTTTAAAATGCCTTAGAAAATGAGCTGACTTGCTTTGTTAGCCGTGAGGGCCGCA